GAACAGCTGATAAGCAGAAGCTTGGCATGGGTGTCCGTAACAGTGCTGCCAACGTGACACAAACAACAGAATTCTAAACCGATAAGCCCGCGAGGTTTAAATTAAAAATTCCGGTTATTTTTTGATCATGGTAGTATTCAAAAAAAAGTTTTGTCGATCATCGAATATAGAAATATATACAGAAATATACAGTTTTCGCAAACACGCAGACTATATGTTTTGTGGAGAGAATACGCGACACCGTGCACAATTTGCGTTTTTCATTCATTCAAGCAAGAAAAAAAAATTCCTGCGTAAAAAGGAGGTATTTTCTCTCTACGTCAATTGCACGATCAAGAATTTCCAAGAGGCTTGAATAATTAGAACTTTAGATCGATCGATAAATATGAATGAAATGTATTCTCACGCTACTATCTTATTTATAAGATATATCGCGAATTCAAGAAAAGTCTTTTCTCGAGAGAATTTATATCAAATTGTTATTAAGACGTTTTAATATACTCTGTGTTTTTTATTATAAAATTTTTGAATAAATCATTTTTTTTCAATAAAGTGAATTACATATGTTTTCTTATATCTTCGTATAATTATATCTCGATCAAGAAATCAAAAAGAAAACAAAAAAAGATTTAACAATAAATAAAAAAAAAAAAAAACAATATACACTGTATATCTTACAACTTTAACTAAAACTCTTGTACGGAAGTATTATGTAAATTTTCCAATTATACTTTGAAAGAGATATTTACTTATAGTTTTACATATACATCACGTAATTACATGCTACTAAGTAATCACATTTCGATTTTTTTTCTATCTTTTAATTAGACTGCAGATTACATGACTCGATTGAAGACTTATCTTCTTTTTATATCGGATATTTTATCCTATCTTTCTACTTTATGTACCGTCGTTCGTTCAAGTTCTTTCTCGCCGCGGTTCATTCGTGATTTACGCGATTGCTTCGTCAAGAGCAAATTTTATCTCTCTCTCTCTCGTTCTTTTTAATTGCATCTCACGATCGATTCCACTTCTTTTTTTTTCTGTTTCTTTTTACGGTGTCCTGCTTTTTTTCGTGGCGGTCTGATCCTCGTTTTGCCTGTGACGTCGGAACATAAATTAAATCTTGCGCGCGAATCTCGACTTGAATTTTCAGCGAAAGAAACGCGATCATACATTTCACGGTTTTTTTTGTTTTAAATATCAATTTTCTCATTTCCGGATTTAATGTTACAATTTGACGCGTCCAATGTGTGCTGTTATTGTTCATGATCTGTATATACTTTATACATGTGTCCCTGAATATTTGGAAGCCTTGTAAACGCCGCGCGCACTCACGTGTCTCGCTTCCAATCGATAAAAAAATTGTACAGGATTCGACAACGATAGATTTCGTATTTTGAAACTTTTCAAGTAGTTTTTCTCTCGTTCAAAGAGAATATTTATGAATCAGAAAATATATATATAGAAAATATAGAAAAGTTAGTATATAGAAATATAGTATATAAAAGTATACAGAAAAGTTTACAAACACACAATATATATATAACACATATATTTTACACATATATATAAAAAATATATGTGTATAAAATATATGTGTATAAAAAACCGTGTCGATAATTCTTTTTATCATTTTATGATAAAGAAATTGAAAATTTTGTTTACGCAGCCTCATTATGAATGGAAAAGACGTACGCGCGAGTTTTCTCGTTTGGGATCTCGAGGAGAAACATGTAAATTTGTGGAAATCACGTAGACGAAGTCTGACAAAATCAATTTGCCTTACTATTTATAAACGACGTGAATATAGAATCTGTCATTCAATATTCCGTTCTTTCTCCCGAGGTGTGTCTGAGAAGATCGTTACGTGGTGTGAAGGTTTTCTTCTTTTGGCCCGTATTCTTTTCTGGCCAAAGAAGAGAGACGATACGAAGGAAGAAGAAATACACGTTTGTTAATGCTCGCGACGGAGTGCAGACTCTCTGTTTGCTATTCATGCGTCGTCTATCGAGTCACTCACCGGTATGAATTGATCAGACCCGATGATATACACAGGTATAACACACGAGTTTTGAATTATTGACTACCATCGTATCTGTCACTGGAAACAATACGTCAGGAATACAATTAATTCCTCGGTGGTCAATATTCTGTAATTTTCAAAAGATTGAAAACTTCTTTCACGTAGAAAGAATGCAAAATAACTATAATGTGCGTTTTTTTGTCTTCTTCGCAACCAATTTGCCTTTGGCTGAAACTTTAAGTTACTTCGCAAAACATACAAAATTTAAACGTTTTCAATATTTTTCCTGGCGACTCATTGACGCGTTACTGAATACAGTCTCTGAAATATGACTGTCTTCCCTTAAAATAGTAGCGTGTCGTTTTTCGTGTCTCTGATTTGTCTCAGTCGTTCTTAACGTATAAATTGTGCAAGAAGAATCTTTTGCATTTCGGCGAAACATAATTCAACAATTATTATGTCTCTTGCGTATTTAAGTAGCAATTTTTAAATATAAATCGCGACAAGTTTTTTTTTTCACGTGGAAAAAAGTAAAACGTGATGTAACAAATTACACGTATATCCTTGACAACTTTGATCTGTGCCAAATTGACCGTTTGACTCGATAAAACTAA